TCTGCTCGCAGCCAGACAAGCACAGAAGTCCTCCTTACCTTAGATGGTTTCACAACCAAGGCTGTCAAGGAATGGGTGAAAAGTAATTGTTTTCAAGTGTGTCCTTTTACAATCATTTGTTTGCTCTAGCTCTTTCAGGAACAAAGGCTATTGTTGAACACATCCAACTAAACAAATAACTCATCTTGGGGTCCCTTTAACAGCTGCCTTGGTACAATGATCTATTTACATATTAGCCTAAAATTGAAACTGAACTCTTTAATGACATAATCTAGCAGTATAGTACAGAAGAAGCATATGTTCAGCCCAACAGCTGAACAATCTTGTAGGCACATGAATTTAGACATAAATGCTCTTATACCAAATGCATTTTAATGCAGTGTCTTAATTCACTGTCATATATTTTCTCTTACATCAAACCCAGCTATTTTTTCCGAATAAAATGCCACTGCATATGCAAAACAGATGATTATATTAGATTTAAAGCATTTATGCCTACTGAGTCTTCCTGTTGTTTCTTCTTGTTTCCGCTATTTTTATTCTTGATAAACTAATTTTGTAGGCTCCACATTCCTGTATGTTCCAGTATTTATCTTACCTTTATTCTGTCTTTCTTTCCTGTGGCTAGAGATTAAAGGATGATCTTACAGATGTTGTAAATTAGTCAGCAACAGGCATAATCATTAGTAGGCATGTTGCAATAAATGTTTGGAAGTTTTACATATTTTCCACAGCATATTTTGTTTAAACCACTGCTATTAATGGTTTCACATATAACTTTTAAAAATTGAAACAGGATATTAGTTTACAACTCTTTAAAAGGCCCAAAACATTGTCAATTTAAACGGCAAAGGTCATTTTTAAATGTTTACCAAACATACTACATCCAAAACAATATTTCAGCTTTGAGCTAAACCTGTTCAGTTTCCTTCAGTAAAACTACTAGTTTATTGAAACCAAAAATGGAATGATGACTTGGTTGCCCTTCAAATATACTTCAGACCTCACACAGAGCAAAGTGTTGCCATCCTCCTATATTTGACCAGTAGGAAGATTGCATCTGATTTTCAGAAGATTTATTGACTCCGATTCCTTAATCTTCTGATTAGCTACTACAGGACCAAATGACATTCTCAAAATTGTGAGAGGAAGTAAATTCCTGTAGTCTAACATCAAACTTCTAATAGATGGCAACTGACTGGGAGGGTTAGGATCTTTTTGTTTTAGCCTTAGCTATTAAAATGGAACCTAGTATTTCTTGCTTATGTACAGCTGGGCAATTTAAAATAAATTTCCACCAGGAAAAATAAATTAGCTTTGATGGTTTTATGTTTTTTTCCCTGAGCACATCCAATAGAACTGTAGCAATGCATTTGCATCATTTGTGGAGTTAATTCAGTAAACAAACTCAGTATTCACAAATTGCATTACCTATTGATGTTTCACCACATACAGTCATACCACTATCACAATGAAAACCTAATGCTTGAGTGAGACCATCTCACAAATGAGAACAACTGGTTGAAACTGGGCGTTAGCAAGACAGGTGATGCTGGTGGACAGAAGAAAATATTTTGATGAGTGCTGCTACAGTGCAGTTTCCTTTGCTGGAAAGCACAGACCTGAAATTGACCAATCCAGTATGTAGTTTAGGATTGCTCGTGCTTCCTGATATTAAGCTCCTAGTCTTACAAGCGTCATTCAAGACTAACATTTTCTATTATTTATGGTTGCCTGGAAGACATCGTTCCATTCTGGCTGATAGTGACCTCCTGACTTTTTCACTTCCCGTCTGGACTACAGCTGAACATGAATCTGTCAGTCCTTAGAACATTCCAATTAGTGCAGAATGCAGGGATAGCTGTGAGCGTGTACAACTTCTCCTTTTTCTACGCTGGCTTTCTATGGAATATCAAGTGAACTTAAAGGTCTCAGTTCTTATCTTCAATGTGCTTAAAGGCCTGGATCCTACATATATCAACATCTGAACCTTTGGGATGAAGACTGTGGTCAACAAGTCTGCTGATCTGTCAACTAAAGAACTGTCAAGAGCAAAATTTGCCTGGGGGTGACACAGAGCTTTCTGGGAAACTAGTCTGAGACTATGGAATGAAATGCCCCAGGAATTAAGAAACACCACTAACCTCAAAATCTCTGCTCCAAGTGCAAGAAAGACTTCTTTCACCTGTTTCTTCCAATATAAACACCAAACAACATATAGGTTTTAAAAAACCATAACAAGCACCTACCAAAACACAATGCTCCACTGGTCACATAATTCTTTTTCTGGAAACAGAACAGCAGACAGAGAAAACAGGAACCACACATGACAGTTGTTAAGGTAAAAACAGATGTTGCATTTGAAGTGGTTCTGATAATCTGAGTCAAAACCTGGGAGCAGCAAAGTCCTTTTCACACTTAGTTTGTCCCTAGAATAAATGACAATTCACTCATATTATCCAGGATCATTCTGAGAAAAAACATTATCTCTGATACTTCACCAGTACTTAAAGTGGGACAATGGGTTTGCAGGGCTCTAGGATGCCTGGATAAAAAGCTTTTGCCCTGGGAGAAATCTGACATCTGGTTTTACCCTCAATATTCTTACTTAATGCATTTTTGGAAAGTGTTGAGATTGGTATAAGAAGAACACAGAGAAAACAGAATGCTTATGGCCTGATCCTATAAAATCAAGTCTGGGAAAATTCAGTCTGAGAGCAGAATAAGGACAGAAGCTAAATATTGTTATACATACATTACTAGTGCAGTTGAAGCCAATAGGACTATTCTAAGTAACCACTCACATTGAACAGTCTTTTGATAACATACAGCAGGGCTAAAAGGAAGCACAATTAATTTCCTGTTCCTGAATAGGATTTTGACTTTCAAAATGCTTGAGAAATGCTGTCTCAACTCACTAATGACCATTTGATATGATACAGGACTATTTTAAATTAGGATTGCTTCATTTACTATTTTACATAATTTTAGAAGTATTTTGCTATTGCTAGTATATTGAATGCCATATTTAGCTATTTAAAACAACAGAAAAGTGCTTTAAAAAAACATTTTTCAAGCAAGGTCTATGTGATTCTTGCTCTTCTGTAGCAAGTTCAAAATTGTTACTTAATTAGGACATACTAGAAGACAGGCCATCCATGAGATATCATGATCAAATTATGGGCCAAAAAAGCACTATGCCTAGTGAATTATTTCATTGGTCTATAACCATGTACCGTACAATTTCAATAAATGTCTAATCAATGGTGCATTATTTTATAGAGTGCTTTTAGAGTCCAAAATGGTAATTGTGATGATTAATCCTGAGCTTGAAAAACTTTCACAGTAATAGCAAGAGGATACCCTACATTTGCGCTGCTGTCACTTACATGTTTTTAATTGTTTTTACATTAGAATTTTTTATTACATTAACAAACATGAATAATGAAATGCTAAGCCTTATGTTCAGAAAGCACCCAACCCATATAAGCATCAGTGGATGCATCTACATGAGACATTTACTGTGGAGCTGCCTAAGTAGCTCTGCAGTAAAGTCTCGGTATCTACATGTGCAGCCCTATCAGGCCACAGGAAACTAAGTAACTTCACCATAGGATAGTACTTCTAAACACTAACACAAGTAAACACAAGTACTTTCCTATGGCAGCGTTCTTTAGGGAGCAAGCAATGCATGTGTAGGCACTTATGGTGCTGGCTGGGACATGAGGGTGTTTCAGTGGAGGGGCTGCCTGGCAGCTAATCCCACACTGGAGCATCCTCATGCCCCAGCCAGCTCCTCCACATCATGTTGAGCTGGGTCAGAGCAGCCCTGGGCTAGCAGGCTGACCCCCTGGGTCCCCTGCCAGCTGAGGCTGCTCTGACCTAACTCAACATGCTGCAGTGCCCAGGAGCAATAAACTCCGGTACAATATGTGCTGGAGTTTATTGCTTCACACTAATTGGATGTTTAGATGCATCCAGTGAGGCCTAGACTGACCCATCCTATACTTTGGGAATGAATAATCAAAAAGCAGACCATGTGGCTTACAATGGGTAACACAGCACATAACATTTAAAGACCAATAGAAAAGGACATGCTGTTTTCCATTAACATTTATTTTTCATGGTATGCTGGCATGACATTCCCCAGGCTCCTGTATTTACTTATACATATTATCAAGCATGGTGTATGCTTCTTCAAGTAAGTACTATGCATAATAATACAAGCTCTTTTCTCAAGACAATGTTCAATTGAATTATAGGGCCAACAGGACATTAAAGAACATTCCAGCTTTTTAATTTCTTATCAATAGAAATCACTGAAAATGTATTTATTTTTCCACCAACAAACAGCTTCCACTTGAGAATGTAATTAATATCATGGTACTGAAAAGTGGAAAGAATACCAGGGCATCAGGGGAATGACCTTTGAGAACTCCACTGATTTTCAGTAGCAAGATCACAATATAATTCAAAACATGCATATCTCACGGACACCTGAGTATTGTTCTTCTAATGTTTTTTGACATTAGAATTTTAGTTTTAAATCTTTGGACAACGTTTATGGTGACTGTGTATATATCTTACTTTGACTTGACAGTTGTGTTTTTCACCATCACCTATAAGGGAAGTGGACAATAGGGCTTGCTCTTACAGCTGCATGCCT